AACAGAAAAGAAACTGCCTACCATCTCTTTGAGATACCTTATGTGCCCGTGGTTAAGTTATAACTTTAATTAAAACTTAAATTTCTCAAATAACTTAAAACAGAGCTACTATCTGACCCAGCAATTCCACTACTGGGTGTATGCTCAAAGAAATGTAAACGTTCTATCAAAAAGACACATGTAGTTGTGTGTTCCTTGCAGCACTATTCCCAATAGCAAAGACATAGAATCAACCTAGATGCCTATTAACAGTGGACTGAATAAATAAATAAAGAAAATGTGGGCTGGGTGCGGTGGCTCATGCCTGTAATCCCAGCACTTTGGGAGGCAGAGATGGGTGGATCATGAGGTCAGGAGATTGAGACCATCCTGGCTAACATGGTGAACCCCGTCTCTAGTAAAAATACAAAAAGATTAGCCAGACGTGGTGGCAGGTGCCTGTAGTCCCAGGTACTCGGGAGGCTGAGGCAGGAGAATGGCGTGAACCCGGGAGGCAGAGCTTGCAGTGAGCTGAGATCGCACCACTGCACTCCAGCCTGGGCAACAGAGCGAGACTCCGTCTCAAAAAAGAAAATGTGGTACATATACCACAGAATACTGCAGCCAGAAAAAAGATGAACCTTCCCCACGAAATCATGGGTTTTGCAGCAACATGGATGAAGCTGGAGGCCATTATTTTAAGCAAGTTCACGTAAGAAACCAAATACTGCACATTCTCACTTATAAGTAGGACCTAAACACTGAGTGCACATGGGCACAAAATGGTAAACAATAGACACTTGAGGGTGAGGGTGGGAAGAGGGTTAGGGTTGAAAAACTACTTATCGGGTACTATGCTTTTTACCTGGGTGACACAATCATTTGTACACCAAACCCCAGTGACATGCAATTTACCCACGTAACAAACCTTCACATGTAGCTCCTGAACCTGAATTAAAAGTTGAAAAAACAAAATCCATATTTCTGAAAACAGTATGTTTCTTGCAAACAGCATATAATTGTGTCTTAATAGTTAATCAAATCTGATGAAGTTTGGCTCCTAATTATATTATATAGGCTAACAGTCCCCAGTCTTTTAGTCACCAGGAACTGGTTTCATGGAAGACAATTTTTTTTTCACAGATGGGAAGGGGCAAGGGATGGTTTCAGGATAAAACTGTTCCACCTCAGATCATCAGGCATTAACTAGATTCTCAGAAGGTGCACATGACCTAGATCACCTGCATGTGTAGTTCACAGTAAGGTTTGTGCACCTTTGAGACTCTAATGCTGCGGCTGATCTGACAGGAGGTGGAGCTCAGGCAGTAATGGTTGCTTACCTGCCACTCACCTCTTGCTGTGTGGCCTGGTTCCTATATAGGGTTCCTACGTAGGACTTGCTATATAGGCCATTTATAGTCAATGTAATTATTGAAATGTTTGGGTTTACATCTCCTCACTTGCTATTTTTAAAATTATTAAATCCATTAAAATATTTCCTTTTTTTCTTTTTTATTCTTCTTTTGGATTAGTGGACTTAACATACATAAATATATATATATGTGTATATATGTGTGTATAATATATGTGTGTATATAAGTGTACTATATATGTATATATTAAATATGTGTGTATATATACACATACACATATATATACACACACACACACTTATTTACATACATACACATATATATGTAAAATTCCATTTTTTCTCCCTGTTGGATTATTAGACTTCCTCTTTGCATTACTTTTTAAAGTGATTGTTCTAAGACATATAATATATATCTTAAACATATCTCAACCTACCTTCGTATAACATTTTACCATTTCATGTGTAGTGTTAGGATCACACTTACAACCCACATTCCAATATCATTTCATGCTGTCCTTTATGTTTTGTGTTATTTCCAATATGTTGTAAATCATATAATAAATTGTTATTCATTTTGTCTTAAGCAATTATATTTTAAAGAGGTTAAAAAATAAGAAAAAATATTTACCCACATACTTCACTATCTTTAGTGTTTTTAATTCTAAATTTCCATTTGATATATTATAACCTTTCTTTTTTCTGAGGAATTTCCCATAACATTTCTTATTGAGCCAATATGCTGATAAAGTTTGTATGAAGAATTCTTGATTTTATAATCATTTTTGAAAGATATTTTCTCTGAGTGTAGTGTTCTAGGTTAATAGTTTTTCTTTTCTTTTTTCTTTCCCCTCAATAAGTAAAAATGTTGCTTCTTCATTTTCTGGCTTGCATAGTTTCTGATGAGAAGTATGCTATCATTCTTATCTTCGTTCCTGTGTATGCAATGTCTATAATATTCTGTATATAATGTTATGGCTGCTTTAATAATTTTCTATTTGTTATTAGTTTTCAGCAATATGATTTTATTTTTTATTTATTTATTTTGCTTGGGATTCTTTTAGGTTCTTAGATTTGTGGGTTTTCAAACTGAGGGAAATTTTGGCCATGATTTCTTTAAAAATATTTTTTCTGTCCCTTCCACTCCCTTCCCCCAACTGTCCTGCAACCCAAGTCCTGGGACCCATTTATGTGTATGTTCAACTGCTTGGTATTATCCTAGAGGTCACTGATACTGTGTTCATTTTTTCTTTTTTCTATTCTTTATTTAGGGTACTATCTATTGCTACGTCTGCCTGCTTACTGATCTGTTTTTCCTAAAATTATAGTCTGACATTAATCTCATTCAGTATATTTTTCAGTTCAGATATTATATTTTTTCATCTTTAGAATTTCAATTTGGGTCTTTTCAAAATTTTCCAGTTCTTTTTTCATTATGTTTATTTCATTCTTTGTCATCTTGAACATATGCAAAGTATTTAGAATGGCTGTTTCAATGTCCTTGCCTGCTAATTAATCTGTGTTATCTCTGTTTCTTTCTATTGACTGGTTTTCTCCTGATAATTCATCATATCTTCCTACTTCTTGGCACGCTTAGTAATTTTTAATTGAATATTGTAAATTTTATGTTTTTGGCTGGTGCATTTTGTTTATTCCTTTACATAGTATGGGCCTTTGCCTGATATTTAATTAGGTTGCTTGGAATTAGTTGCATCCTTTGGAGGCTTGCTTTGTGTATAGCAGGCCCAGGGCAGCCTTCAATCTAGCTGGTTTAGTCCCATAAATAAGGCAATCCTTGCCTCAGGACTAGAGGGAACAAGTTTTGTATTACAATGACTTTCACCTTGGCTGCTGGGAAAATGCACTGTTTCCAGCCTTGTGTAAGATCCGGGAATTTTTCAGCCTGTTACTTTCTGGCGATTTGCTTCCCAGTCTTAGTTTCTCCTCACACATGAACAGATCAATACTCAGCTAAAAAGGTGAGAGGACCTCTCTGTAGAACTCCAGAACTTTTTCTCGGTCATTACTCTTCTCTCTAGTAGTCTGCTATGCAAAATCTTGCAGGCTTGGCCTTCCTCAACTCTGTACTTTCTCTTCTCAACTCAGCAAATCTGCTAGGCTTTCCTTGCGTTCCCTCTCCCGGCTGTATTACCTGGAAACTGCCTCCCTGCAATATGCTGACACAGTTGCTCAGTTCTCATCTTGTTTGTTTTCCTTTCTTCAAGAATCGCTGTTTCATGCTACATGTTATCTAATATCCAAAAACGATTTTTCATATATTTTACTTGTTTTCCTAATTGTTCAATGTGGGAACGTATATTCTGTCTGTGTTACTCCATCATGGCCAAAAGCAGACTGCCTTCTCTCTTTTATATTTTCTCTAGGAATGAAATTCTGGGTTGACAGTTCCTTTTTTTTTTTTTTTTAATTTTCAAAATGTCATGTCATCTGGTGTGCAAAGTTTCTGATGAAAAAGTGTGGTATATGTCTTATCTTTGATATTCTGTACATAGTCCCACTCCCCAACCACTTGCTGCCTTTACGATTCTCTCTTTATCTTTTTGTTGTTGTTTGTTTGTTTTCTTTTTAGAGACAGAGTCTTACTCTGTTACCCAGGCTGGAGTGCAATGGCACAATCTCGGCTCACTGCAACCTTTGCCTCTCAGGTTCAAGCGATTCTCCTGCCTCAGCCTCCTGAGTAGCTGGGACTGCAGGCGCGCACCACTGTGCCTGGCTAACTTTTATATTTTTAATAGAGATGGTGGTTTCGCCACGTTGGCCAGGCTGGTCTTGAATTCCTAACCTCAAAAGATCTGACCGCCTCGACCTCACAAAGTGCTGTGATTATAGGCATGAGCCCAGGTTTTTAGCAGTTTGAATTTGATACGTTCAGGTGAGTTTTTTTAGGGGTTGGGGGAGTGGTAGAAAAATTTATCCTGCTTGGGTTTCTTAAGATGTGGTTTGATGTCTTTTTATCATTTTTTGAAAATTCTCAACCATCTTTTCAGACATTTACTCTATTTTTTCCTCTCCCTTTTTGAGATTCCAGTTACACATATGCTCATTCAGACATACGTGGACTCAGAATACCTTAGAAAGGAAGCCCCTTTTAAAATACGCTACCATATTTATAGAGAAACAGGGGCAGGAAGCATCTAGGTGACCATGTAACAATGGGACCTTCCTTGTTGAATAAATGACCTTCTTTCCTTGATGGAAGCTGTTGTCCTGTCCTGCAGGCCTCTTGGCAGAGATGCATCCAGCCTCAGCCTTTTGGCAGACACCCTAGTTCATGAGGGCCAGTACAATGCCTGCCCAACACCAGTAGCCATTGTTAGGGTCTCAGGGACCAAGCTGTACCATAGGAGGGCCCTTGACGCACTGACTGAAATTAGCCCATTTGTCCAGTAAGTAAACACAAATTTGCTGGGTCTACTGAAAGAAGGAAGGGAATACATGCCTCAGGTTATCTGAGTTTGCCTTTTCTCATGTACTACCATACCATTTTAACAATTTATGCATCTTAAAGAACATTTCATTTAGTTCATATATTATTATCTCATTGTTTGTCAAAGCTACATTATAGAATTTTAAATAGATGTAAGCTAATTTATTTAATCTTTAAAATTAATAAACATACTAATGAGCATTTAGAATGCTTCCAATTTATTCCTATTACAATAAATTGCCTCAGTTAACATTTTTGAGCTTACACTTTAATTTCCTTAGGCAAGAATAATTAGGGACTTTTTTGGTTATCGCTTTTAATTTTTCTTTTTGCAGACCTCAGTTGTATTGGAATGAATCAATCATGCTCCTTACTAAGGCCATATAGTTATTATCCTTACAGCACCTCTCCTTAATTTTTTAAAAAATTATATTATTGTTTTTTACTTATCCCCCCTTCTTAACGCTATCATTCTGACCACGGACATCCACTCTCTTGTATAGAATGTAATCACTTCCTATCCATCTTTTTTTCATTTCCATATATGTATGTCTCCAAGCATATAATGTTGTTTAGAGTGATTTTTATTTATATTAATTTAATTATGCTATAAATTCATTTTTTAAAAGACTTTTTTTCATGCACATTATATTTCTGAAGCCATTTCATGTTGCTCTATGTAGATCCTGCTCATGTATTTTGACCACTCCATAGAATTCAAACATATACAAGTACAGCAGTAGGAAAATTCATGGCATTACAAAATCTGAATCAAAACGCACCTACATTTCCAGTTTGAATAGATTGAGCCAAGGCAGTTTGAAAATGGTTGTACTTAGAATCACAGCAACAGTGTAACAGGGTCCCTATTTCCTCACATCTTTTCCAAAGTAAGGATTATCAGACTTTTTTTGAATGAAAATGATATTTTGTTGTCCTTTCAACTTATATTTACTTAACCATCAATTTTTGTGAACATATTTTTCTATGTTTGCTGGCAATTTGCATTTCTTTTATTGTAAATTTCCTGTTCCAACATATGACCTTCCAATGTCTTCAGCTTGGCAGTATTTTTAGAATTTCAAACTTGAAACTTGGGTGATGGTGAAATCTAAGGTCATCAGTGGATACCAATGATTTATCTATTTAAGACAAACTGCAATGATATTGAGCAAATTAAAAGCTTATGTGCATTATGCTTCCTGGGGCCAATAAAGTAATCATTTGGAAGTCTGTGTTATAAAACTGTAGCATATGAGCGTGAAATTAAGTTAACCAACATGTTCAACCAAAAGTCGTTTAGGGACCATTTTAGTTTAACTGTGATGCAGGCTGGCAGCTTTCCCTAGTTTCAAAACTCACAGCCATGCCCACTTCCTGTTCATCAGGCATATGCAATTTGTCTTGGAGCTTTGTGGAGAGCTAGACATATGACATGTCAGGACACATCTGGTACATTAGAAGGATTTCTCTTCGCTTCTCCCCTCCCTCTTTCCTTCTAGTCTTCTTTCCTTTACTGGAGACAGAATGCATCTCCTTACAAAACAGGCCTCAGATCTCCATCCCTTTTGTCAGTTTTTGTTGACTAGCCTTAATGTTCTGTTAGGGCTCCACCTCCTTCTCTGACAACTCAGCATTTGCCTGATGTGACATCTTCAAGAGTCTTTAAGACAGGCGAAGGAGGTGAAAGAGAGGGCAGTGTTGGGGGGGAGAAATGAGAGAGGCCAGGCCTATCAGCGTCAAAAAGCATCTGTCAAGAAGAGATTGAATTAGTCCCTGGTCCTTGATGGAAGCTGCTGTCTTGTCCTTCAGGCCTCTTGGCAGAGCCGCATCTAGCCTCACCCTTCTGGCAGACATGCTGGGTCACGGAAGCCAGCACAATGCCTCCTCAGCACCAGTAGCCATTGCTAGGGTCTCAGGGCCAACCTATACCATAGGAGGACCCTTTTTCTGCTCAGTACCTGGATGGATTCGAGGTGCAAGTTTGGGGCGGAGCTGGGAATCCTGGAGGGAGAGAAAAGGTCATGAGTCTGGGGTCTGCTCAGGGTCAGGCAAAGGGGAAAATGCTCTGTGGCAGAATGGCTCCTTTCAGAAGGGAATGTGTAATACAATTTGAAGTTAGCAATTGTGTTCCAGGCAAGGTAAATCTCTGTCTCCCTCTTTCTATTGAATCCTAGGTAAAGTGACAACACTGAAGAGTATTTGTGCAGGGGGGAGGCTGTACAGGAACAATAATGAGCCTAGTATGTGCACCTAGTGTGTGCTAGGAAGGATACATTTCATAGTTAATGTTACTTAATTATACAGTACTTCCATAAAATATTTTTATCTCCAATTTACTTCACAATCATATTTTTACGTTATAATATTCTTGCAAAGACCTCATAAACTGTTTTCTCTGTTCCAGTCAAGACTGATTTGTTTTGCAAAGAAGAGTAACCTACTTAAATTAGCTGAAGAAAGGTGGTGTCTCAGTAGGTTATGAGGGAGTGTCACGGAAAACAAAAGCAGGAAATTGGGTTTTGTCTCATGGGAAGCGGAAAACTATTGGGCCACACCTTTCTTTCTCTCCATCCCTGGGCTATATGTCCTCCCTGCAAATCTGCTCTCTCCTCCAGCCTGTCTCTGAAAATGGGTTTCCACTGCCAACTTTCCAGCTTGCACATGGATAAAAAGAGACCTCAAGGCTGGCAGCTGCAGGCTTACTAATCTCACTGGAGATTTTGTGTCTCCTAGTTTTAAGATGAATCAGAGAATCTGATTGGCTCATCAAAGATCAGGTGGCCACATCTCATCTAGTCATCTGTGGCCAGGAGAGGGCACCCTTGGAAGAGCAGAGCTTCAGCAGGCACTGAGGTGGTATCTGCTCTAGTGTCTGCTACAAGGCCCATTTGACAGATGAGAAAACCGAGGTTCAGAAATGGAAGTGCTTTGACTCCAAGGAGCAGGTAATAAAGTAACTAACCAAGGACACTAATGGAGGGGACCAGTGGTAAAGATTTGGTGGAGGTGAAAAGATATACATCTGTTATGTGTCAGTTAAAAAATAAAATTGAGAAGCAGCTGCAGTCCATGGCACTCACAGAGGGAAACAAAATGAGTGAGTGAATACAGCATCATCAACTGAAATATTCACATTGGGACTGATCAGGGCAACAACTCAACTCATGGAGAACAACCCATGGGTGATGGCCCACCTGACAGCTGCATGGAGCCAAGGAAACCCCTCCCCCCCACCAGCCAAGGGAAGTGGTGAATGAATATGTGACCCTGGGAAACCGTGCTTCTCCCATGAATCTTTGCAACCCATGGATCAGGAGATCCCCTCATGAGCCCATGCCACCAGGGTCTTGGGGCTGACACACAGAGCTGTGTAATCTTGGCAGAGCAGCTGCTCAGGCACACACAGAGACCCAGGAGCTTTACATACTCCGGCCCCAGGATCCCCAACAAATGTGTCTGCAACTCAGGCAAGGCAGGAGGTCCACACATACCCCTAGGAAGAGGGTAGAATCCAGAAAGTCAAGCAATGTCATTCTGTAGGTCCTCCTTCCATGGCACCTCACAAGATAAGACCCACTGACTTGGAATTCCACCCAGCCAATGGCAACAGGGTGGAGCCTGCCTAAGATGGGCCGGAGCCCCTCTGGGGAGGGGCAGGCACCATTTCTACTGTTAGGTTGACTCAGCTGTTCCAGCCTGTGGGCTTTGGAGGGTCCAAACAATCTGGAGGAGGAAGGGTCCCCCCAGCAGCGCACCACAGTGGCTTTGCCAGATTGTGACCAGACTGCTTCTTTAAGTAGAGCCCCTGATCCATTTCTCCTCACTGGGTGGGACCTCCCAGTCAGGCCCTCCAGTCACTTCTGCCCACACCTATTAGGGACAGAGTTCTGCTCTCTCTCTGGGATAGGGGAGGGCCGCCACCTGGGTTGATTGGATGACTCGGCTGCTCCAGACTGTGGGCTTTGGAGACTCCAAGACAGCAGGGGCAGAGGCAACTGTTTTGGGGAGGTGTGGCCAGACTGCTTTTTTAAGCAGGACCCTGATCTACTTCTCTTCATGGGGCAGGTCCTCCCAGCCAGTGCCTATGGCCACCCTGCCCATGCTCTATAGGGCTCTAATTACTCCCTGGAATGAGTGCCTGAGGGACAGGGCAGGGAGCAATCTTGGCTGGGGCTTCTCAGCCAGTCCAGTCTGTGGGCCTTGGGGAGCCCAAACTGATTGGGGTCTGAAGGGATACCTGACACAGCACAGCTTCTCTGCAAAAAGTAGCCATACTGCTTATTTAAGTAGGTACCTGATCCCATTCCTCTTGACGCAGTAAGACTTCCCAACCAAGGTCCCCAGCCACCTCATACAAGTGTGTTCAGGCCAGCAATAGGTCAGTACACCCATGGGATGGAGCTTCCAGAGGAAGGGGCAGGCTGCCGTCTTTGCTGCTTTGCAGCCTTCATGCATGATACCTCCAGGGACAGGAAGAAGCAAGGCAGCTAGGGTCTGGAGCAGACCCTCAGCAAACTGCAGCAGCCCTAGGTAGAGTGGCCAGACTATTAAAATAAGAACAACAACAACAAAAAAACAGAAAACAACAACAACAACAAAACCACAAAATCCCCATCCAAAGGTCAGTAATCTCAAAGAATGAAGGTAGATAAGCACACAAAGATGGGAATAAATGCAAAAATGTTGAAAACTCAAAAATCCAGAGTGCCCCTTCTCCTTCAAATGATAGTAACGTCTCTTCAGCAAGGTCTCAGAACTGGGCTGAGGCTGGGATGGCTGAAATGACAGAAATAGGCTTCAGAATGTAGATAATAATGAATTCTGCTGAGCTAAAGGAGCATGTTGTAGCCCAGTGCAAAGAATTATGATAAAAACAATACAGGAGCTGAAAACCAAAATAACCCAGTTTCGAGAGGAACATAGTCGACCTGTTAGAGTTGAAAAACACACTACAACAACTTCACAATGCAGTCACAAATATTAATAGCAGATCAAGCAGAGGAAAGACTCTCAGAGCTTGAAGACTGGCTTTCTGAATTAAGACAGGCACACAAGAACAGAGAATAAAAAAGACTGAAAAGGAATGAACAAAACATCTGAGAAATATGGGATAATGTAAAGAGACTGAATCTATAACTGATTGGGGTACCTGACGGAGAGAGGGAGAATGGAACCAAGTTGAAAACATACTTCAGGATATCATTCAGGAGAACTTCCCTAACGTAGTAAGAGAGGCCAACATTCAAGTTCAAGAAATCCAGAGAACCTCAGTAAGATACTCCATGAGAAGATCATCCCAAGCCATATAATCATCAGATTCTCCAAGGTTGAAATGAAAGAAAAAATGTTAAGGGCAGCCAGAGAAAAAGGCCAGGTCACCTACAAAGGGAAGCCCATCAGACTAACAGTGGATCTACCAGTGGAAACCCTAACAAGCCAGAAGAGATTGGGAGCCAATATTTAACACTCTTAAAGAAAATAATTTCCAACCCAGAATTTAATATCTGGCCAAACTAAGCTTCGTAAGCAAAGGGGAAATAAGATCCTTTTCAGATGAGCAAATGCTGAGGGAATTTGTTACCATTAGAACTGCCTTGCAAGGGCTCTTGAAGGAAGCACTAAATATGGAAAGGAAAAACTGTTACCAGCCACTACAAAAACACACTGAAGTACACAGGCCAGTGACACTATGAAGCAGCTACATGAACAAGCCTGCAAAATAACCAGCTAGCATCACGATGACAGAATCAAATCAACACATAACAATACTAATCTTAAATGTAAATGGGCTAAATGCCCCAATTAAAAGACACAGAATGGCAAACTGGATAAAGAACCAAGACCCATTAGTATGCTATTTTCAAGAGACCCATCTCACATGCAAAGACACATCTAGGCTCAAAATAAAGGGATGGAGGAAAATTTACCAAGCAAATGGAAAACAGAAAAAAGCAAAGGTTGCAATCCTAGTTTCTGACAAAACAGACTCAAAACCAACAAAAATAAAAAAAGACACAGGAGAACATTACATAATGGTAAAGGGTTCAATTCAACAAAAAGAGGTAACTATTTGTAATATATATGCACCCAATACAGAAGCACCCAGATTCTTAAAGGCAGTTTGTAGACACCTTCAAAGAGATTTAGACTCTTTAATAATAGTAGGAGACTTTAACACTCCACTGACAATATTAGACAGATCATTGAGACAGAAAATCAACAAAGATATTCAGGATCTGAACTCAGCACTGGATCGAGTGGACCTGAAAGATAGCTACACAACTCTCCACCCAAAAACAACAGAATATATATTCTACTCATCGCCACTTGGCACTTACTCTAAAATTGATCACATAATGGAAAGTAAAACACTCCTCAGCAAATGCAAAAAAAAAAAAAAAAAAAAACCACTAAAATTATAACAGTCTCTCAGACAATGGCACAATCAAATTAAAACTCAAGATTAAGACATTCACTCAAAACCACACAGCTACATGGAAATTGAACAACATGCTCCCAAAGACTCTTGGGTAAATAATGAAATTAAGACAGAAATCAAAAAGTTCTTTGAAACTAATGAGAACAAAGATACCACATACCAGAATCTCTGGGTCACTGCTAAAGCAGTGCTAAGAGGAAAATGTACAGCACTAAATGCCCACATCAGAAAGCCAGAAATTTCTCAAGTTAACAACCTAACATCACAACTAAAAGAACTAGAGAAGCAAAGCAAATAAACCCCAAAGGTAGCAGAAGACAAGAAATAACCAAGATCGGAGCTGAATGGAAGGAGATAAGACATAAAAAACGCTTCAAAAATCAATGAATCCAGCAGCTGGGTTTTTGAAAAAATTAATACAAGAGACCACTAACAAGGCTAGTAAAGAAGAAAAGAGAGAAGATTCAAATAAACACAATCAGAAACGTTAAGAGAGATACACCACTCACCCCATAGAAGTATAAACAGCCATCAGAGAACACTATTACTACCTCTATGCACA